CAAGAGACATTCTTGCCATTCCTGTTTCAACGGTAGCCTCAGAATCTGCTTTTAGTACCGGAGGCCGCATCCTCGATCCCTTTAGGAGTTCATTGAGCCCCAAGATGGTGGATGCATTGATTTGTACACAAAATTGGCTGCGTAGTCGTGAGCACATCAACCTTATTGACTTGGAAGAATTTAATGAATATGAAGATATTAAATCAGGTAATCTTTTTACGTTTTACTTACTTTTTTTAATTTTATTTCATCTCCTTGTTGTTTATTTTGTTGTTCTAAACTTGATTCTGATGATTTTTTTTGTTATGTTTTCTTCTCAAGATTTGTCAACTTCTGTTGCAACACATGAGGGGCAAGTTGGGAATGAAGATGCTATTATTCTGGATTAAACAGTTTGGAGTGGACTAACTTTTATTTCATGTCCTATTTTGTGACTATTTTTATATGGACTGTTTATCTTTATATGGTTTATTTATTCTGGATTAAATTGTTTATTTTATATGGACTATTTTGCATGTTAGAAGGGTACCAATCTAATTGAAATATTCTAGTTGTTTTTTTATTAGTTATCTGCTTTCACCAACTCGAGCAACCCGAGTAACCCTACCCTACCCGAGGTCACCCGAAACGTCGCGGGTTTGTAGATTTAAGAGAGTGTCGCGGCTCAAAATTTTCTCAACCCGAACTAGTCGGGTAGGCTCATTTTTTCGGCTCAACCCTACCCTACCCGGCCGATTTACACCCCTATCTGCTTTACATCAAAATAAAGTCATTTTCTTTTACCCCTAGATTATGTCTAAAGGAAAAGGTACTGAATGCAAATTCCCTTGCCAAGAAAACAAAACAAAAAAGACAAGAAAATTCAAATAGAATACACCAAAAAAAAAATCCATTCATAGGATTACTTCTTTAAGTTGGGATCGTCAAACGAGATATCACTTGTCGTAGAGGTTGTAGATATATATATATATATATATATATATTCTCTGCTTTCAATCGAATATGTCATTTCCACATACAGAGCAAACTTGATGAGTACTAAAGTGCTGAAATTCAACTGAAAGGAAATTACTCTAAAAGAAAGGGAAAGAAAAAAAAATAAAAATCAAACAGAAAATTCCACAATTTGCTAAACGCAAAGCCATTTATTTCCTCAAAGACAAACCCTAGCTTACTTCAAACTCCAAACCTTATCTACATTTTTT